TTTGATGTGGATCAGGAGAGGTAATGGCTTGTTTGACGTATGAGTCTACTAATTCATTTCCTTGGATTCCAACGTGGCTTGGGATCCAAATCATAGTGATTGATTGAGATTGGAGTTCTAAAGACGATATTTGATTTTGAGTCTTTTTGCTAATGTCGTTAGGTTGAAGATAGTTTTGGATGTTGGTTAAGGTGCTTAGAGAGTCATTGAGTATGATGGATTTAGTTATTTTATTTTGTTTAATGATATCGAGTGAATGAGAAATTACGATGGCTTCAGCGGAAGAAATTGTACATAAGTTAGGAATTATGATCATTATTTTATTCTCTTTGTATATCACAGAGGCTCCTACTCCTTCGTCCATTTTTGACCCATCAGTGAAAAAAATTGTGTATTCTTTGTAGTCTTCGAGCAATGATTGTAGCTCACTGTTATACGTTTTTGGTAGAGTTTTGCTTTTGGGTAGGTCTGATATTGAAAGATTTACATCTATGTTTAAGATCCATGGGGGGACTATGAGGTTTTCGTGTTTAATGACCCCGGATGGGTCGATGGATATATGTAGAAGTTTGTCTTTGATGATTCGGTGTGTCTTGAGATTATTTTGGATTAGACTTATATAAAAGAGCATGGTATTTTTTTTTCTTATTAGGTGTATTGGAGGGGTATTGGTGATGTTATATAAGCTGGAGGTGGGACTGGATCTGAATGCTCCAGAAACTAGCCTTAATCCGGAATTGTGTATCGTTTCAATGGTTTTGAGATGTGATGGTTTGGCATTTATGAAGAGGAAGGAACCGTATTCGAGCTTGGATAGTATGATGGATTTGTAGATCTGTTTGAAGAAAAGTGATTTAGCTCCCCATGAGGTATGTGCAAGTGCCTTGAGGGTGTTAATTCTTATAGCAGACACTTTTCATAATTCTCTTAGGTGTGTGCACCAAGTATTTTTGCTATCGAATATGATTCCTAAAATCTTGATAGTCTTAGAGGTTGCGATTTAAAGATCATTTATTTTGATTTGCAGTGTCTGGTATTTTCTGAGTTGAGAGAAGATGATGCACTGTGATTTTGTGGCGGAAAAGCGATAGCCAGAAGTAGCCAACCATTTTTCTAGTGAAGATATTGTGTCTTGTAATATTGGTTGTATGCTATTTGTATTTCTCCCTCGGCACCATATAGTTAGGTCGTCGGCAAAAATAGTATGGTTTTACGGGGAATTTGATTGATTCACTTACGTCATTAATGGCTATAAGGAAAAGGGTGACAGAGATGGTGGATCCTTGAGGGACCCCGTTTTCTTGTTTGAGGGTTAAGGAGAGGTGGCCATCGGTTTTGACCTAAAAAGTTCTGTCTGACAAGAAGTGTTTGATAAAATTGAGCATATTTCCGTGACAAAGTATCTTGTGTAGTTTTTCTATTATTCGTGGGCGCCATGTGGTGTCATATGCTTTGGCAATGTCGAGGGCAACTAGTCCTAAAACTTGTCTGGCTTCAAATATTTTTTTTTATATCCTCCTGTATGTCATGTAAACTATTATATGTGCTTCTATGTTTGAGAAAACCATTTTGTTGGGAAGAAAGGTAGTTAGTTTTTTCGAGAATCCATCTCAGTCGTATGTCGATGATTTTTTTCGAGGATTTTACACATTGTATTTAATAACGATATTGGTCTGTATCCTTCAGTTGAGAATTTATCCTTTCCGGGTTTTAGGATAGGTATTACGAAAGAGTGTTTCCACTTTTTGGGAATTTGTCCTCTTTCCCAAATTTTTTTATGTAAGTGAAGTAAGAATTGTGTTGCGGACGTCGGAAAGTTATGTATGAAGCTGTATGGGATTACGTCGGGTCCGGTAGATAGGCTTGAACATTTAGATAGTGCCCAGTCTAATTCAGTTGCACTGATTGGAGCGTTGAGGTATTGATGTGATGGGTCGATGTTTGATTGAAAGTGGATGTGTCTATTTGTGATGTGTTTATTTATGAATGATTCGTCGTAGTTACTGTCAGAAGTGTTTAGATAAAAGTGGTTACCTATTAGATTGGCTACTTCAGAAGGATTTGTGTGTAAATTGTTGTATTTTACGATATGAATTTGTTTTTCTCTGCTGTATCCTCTGTATTCCTGCTGGATCTTATTTTGCTCCAAACCGAGCTAGGATCGCTTTTGGGTCCTATAGTTGAGGTAAATTCTCCCCATGACTTTTTTTTGCTGTTCTTTACTAAAAATTTGGTTTTTGCTCGGAGTTGTTTTAGTTTTATATAATCTTCGATTTTACCTGTTTTTTGGAATATTTTTAGTGCGTTGTTCTTGTTTTTGATTGATAATTTGATTTCAGGATTCCACCAGGGGACTTTTGGTTAGAATTTTGGTTGAATGGTTTGTTTTTCCTATTGATATATTAGCCGCGTTTATAATGGAGTCAGTTATATGGTTGACGTCGGATTGGATCGGTCCGTCTTTAGGAGGAGAATTGGTGGTAATATATGAATCGGTTAATTTGTTGAAAAGTTCCCAGTTGGCTTTTTTTAATTTCCATCTACGAGGGGATGTTTTGGGTGGGACTTTGCTTGATAGTATTTCTATTTTGATAAGGATATGGTCACTGTCGTAGATTTCGAGTTACGTTGACCATACTGTTCGTTGAGCTAATGATGCACTGCTTAACGAGAGGTCTATCGATGAAAATGTTCCATTGGCTGGGTTTAGGCGTGTAGGTTCATCATTATTTAGTAAGGTGATGTTGTCGATTTCTAGGATCTTTTCAATTTGTTTACCTCTACCGTCGGTTTTGTCAGATCCCCAGTGCGCGCTGTGACTGTTAAAGTCCCCCAGTATGAGGAAGGGAGTTGGTAGTTGTTGGATTATGTGTTCTATGTCAGAGGCTTCAAATGTTTTCTGATTTGGTATGTATAAATTGCAGATTGTGATTTTGGTCTCTAGTTGAATAGTTGCAGCAACTACTTCTATTGAGGTTTGGATTGGGATTTGAGAGCTAGGAAATTCTGATCTTATTAGTGTAGCTACTCCTCCGCTTGCGCGGTTGCATTGTGTTCTGTTGGAGATGTACGTGTTGAAATTCTTTATGTGAGGTGTATAACTGTCTTTTAAGTTCGTCTCTTGCAGGCATATAATGGTCGGGTTGTGGATTTGATTAACTATTTTAATATCGTTGGTTTTTTTAACAAGTCCATTTTTGTTCCATTGTATAATATTTATACTCATTATTTTTATTTTATTTAATTTTTAATTTTTTATATTGTGATTGTTCTTTAATTTGGTTCAGTTTTTAAATTATCATGTAAGATTACGTACTATTTGTGTGTCTTGTTTTATTTTTGGTTATTATTAATATGTTCTTATTCTTGAGGTGTTGATTGGAATAATAGATTAGATAATTTAGTAAGTTTTATTTTTAGCGCCCGGTCTTTTATCATTGGCCTAACTATTTCAATAGTTATAGATACTGTATGTATGTCTACCATGGTTTCATTACAGAGTGTATGAATGTTAATAGCTTTGTTTGAGAAGTTTTCTAATATGTAATTCAATTGAGAAAATGACATTGGAATTTCGTCATTTTCAGAAAATATGTTTTGGATGGATTTAAGAATGTCTTCTGTTGTTAAATTTTCAAGTGAATTGCTTTTTTTTTAGTTTTTTATTTGGTTCTTTGAGTTTCCCCTTAGTATTTTTAGATTCAATCAATTTAGTTATTAGGTTTTTGGACTGATCACGATTTTTGTTGTTTGGGTATGTTTCGGGTGGATTCGGGGTTGCAGGTGATGTGGGGCAGCTTGATGATGGAGGAGATCTTTTGGTTTGTATGTTGGGTAGACATGTGGTAGTATTGGTAGTATTGGGTTGAATTAATGTGTTTAGATTGTGACTGTTTTTAGGGATGTCATTAACATATTCTTCGATTTTATTGTTTTCTTGAGTAGAGTTCGAAGAAGTGATGGGGGTGTTTTCTTCTGTTGTTGCTTTTTGTGTGATATTTATGGTAGTGTTGGTAGAGTTTAATTCTTTTTTACAGTAATTGGATGTGTGGCCGGTTTGTTTGCATAGGTAACAAGTAAGTGTATCATCGGTTAAGAATATTCTGAAGTCTGTGTTATCATAATTAACTATTGACAATCCGGGTACCTTTTATATATCATCTGGGTGTATATATACCTGTCGCCTAAAACTACTTATGTGTGAGAGTTCGTCTTCGAAACCAGCTTTTAAGAATGATATTGAAGATAGTGTTTTAATATTGAATGATAGAAGGTGTTCAGTGATTATGTCATGCGGTATAATTGGGTGAGCATTAGATATTATGAATCGTTTGGCTGGATTGACTAGTCGCCTAAATGGTATTTGATTTTCATTTACTGATATGAACGAGTAGATTTTAATTAGTTCGTCGACCGTATTTTTATCTCTAAAGTATATACAAAATCTGTTGTTTGATATACGAGAGGCGAACGTGATGTTTTTTGGAAGAGTTATTTTTCCGAATGCTTTAACGTATTCAATTTGAGGTATCTCGTTTATTGTATTAAGTATGATGGCTTGATCTTTTTTTGGGAACATTGTGTTTGCTGTTGTTTAGGCGAAGGTTTTAGTATGATTGTAATTTGGTTGGAGAGATTGTGATAAATTTTGTATGTTCATAGTTTTAAATTTCCCATAGAATTTTATCGGCTTAATTAGGCCGCGGTGAGCCGCCGGCCGTTAATTATGTATTGTAGTTCACAGTGAATAAGATTACATATTACCTGTTTTGTTTGTAATTGTTGTTTCGGTGCATACTATAAGCGTACTGCTATCGGGAGCTAATAAATGCGATAAAGAAAACGCGTGTGCTTTGCTCGGTGGTCAAACACGTACTGTTATCAAATTATTATATATTGGATTGAACTAATTATTTGATTATTTATAATTTAAATTAATTAATTATAAATTAATAATAAGAACATTTTTTAAAATGGATATGAATAAATGTAACTTTCAATTCTCGTAAATATTATATTTATTAATTCGATAAAAGACTGTCTTTTAAAACTTCAGATAAAAAGTGATCCGTAAAAAACGTCGTTAGTTGAGACTTCATATTTTTATCCCAGAAATCATCGTCTCTTTCAATTTTTTCATACATCAAACCTGTATACAAATAACTTATTAATTATACATTTCAATTACAATCCTAATAGTTCAAAACTATATATTACCTTTAGGTGTCCAGATACAAAAATAACAAAACATTTTGCGTGTTATGTGCAGTTGACCCTGGACTTGATAAAAGTAACTATCATTTCTTTTCAAATGTAGTTGACCGTTTTCAATTGTGCAGCTTTTTATTTTATTCATTAAAATTCCATCTTCTGGAGTAAAACTTTTTGCAGACGCTGGACATGACAACTATCACTAAGAAAATGCGCGGACTATTTTATACTTTGCAATGATTGTAATTGTTAGAATACATAATTATTTCATTTCCGTAATCATTAGTTCTAATAGACTGATAATCGTTCGAAATGCGGGTAGTATTTAATATTTATGTTATGGCTTGGTACTAAAATTCTTAGAAATGTTCTAACGCCCATACGCGCATGCACAGGTCAATGAACACGAAGAAAATTTACACCACGCTAATAAAATGTCAAAAACGCAAAAAATCTAGACAAAACTGGAAAACTTGGGATTGATGAATTTAAATTTTGAAAACAGATTTGATTAAGTCACTATGTTAGCTAGGGATTGACCAAAGGAATTTTCTATATTGTAATCAAATAATAAGATATTGACAATTTAAAAAACAGAAATTTATGTATTTTATGTATTTCAGTACGCCGTTAATTTTTGTAATAATAAAAATTCCTTCGATCAAGTTTTAGTAAAGATGTTCAAGATTTTTAATTTGTTTTCAAAATTAAAATCCGTCAAACCCAAGTCCCACAGTTTTGTCTAGCTTATGACCTATTTACGTGATTTTTTGCATCGTCTGCAGCCCCCTTAATAAAAATTATTTTGAACATTAGTTAGAATGCCGTCCCCCCGTTCCAATGAAAAAATATAGTTGGGGTTTAAAGGTTTGGGAAAATACGTTAGAAAGAATTTTATTATTCTCACTGAGTATTTTGTTTATCATATCTTATTATTATGGTCAAAGGACCTCCAAATTAATTTATCCCTGGCCCCGAAAAACCTTGGGATTGCCCTGATATTGACCGAACCAAAATCCTGCCATACGGTCACTGATCTCATTAACACGTGGGACCATCCTCGCATAGTGCAACATGAGAGGTTTTTAAAACATCTTGCCACCAAAACGATACGATTACTTGCAGGGGCGTATTTAGACTTGCTTCTAGGGGGGGAGACTCAATTTTTTTTTTTAATTCAGGCTCAAAATTTACAAGTAAAATTTTTGGTAATATTTAAATCAAGTGAATCCTTAATAATTGTGGTTCTTTTTATTTATTTTATATTCTAATGCCGGAAATACCGGATCCACTTAGAATGGACTTTTGTGTAGTTCTTTTTTAACACCCATCAGTGTTTTGAAAGTTTCGCTTGTGTTTTTTTACTTAGTATGGATCAGGGCTTAAATCAAAATAATATATATTGTTTACTGTTATGGGACATTTAAACGTTATTCAATTTATATATAAACGTATAAACGTTATACAAATTTAAACGTTTAAAAAATTTTCCGTTTACCGTTATTGACAATTAAAACGTTATGAACAATTTAGCGTTTTACGTTATTTAAATTCGTGTAAAATTTGAAACGTTTTCAAATGTAGTATTTAGCAATCAATACTACGTATAATGAAATTACATATTTTAAATATTATATTGTATATATATTACCTTTAACCCGTGGTGAGTTGATAAAAATATTTGTGGGTATACGCACTAAAAAAATATGGATATTAATCCTAAAATAAATTTTCTTGCTTCGCTCGACAATTTTTTTCTCTCGATAAGTTCGAAAAAATTTAATTAATCCTTTGTAACTACATGTTTATAACTTCTATTAACACTATAAAATATAATACCACTAGATACATTTGCAGCACGTTATAAATTAAGAACCATAGGCTGAATGTTCACACATTCATTGTTATTCACTATAGTTAACAAAATATATTAAACACAGTGTACACTATAATCTTCAACAGCTAAATATTTCAATCAATTTCATGGTTCATAATAGTTTTTTCCAATGAACTATTAAATTATTATTAATTTTTTTGTTTTCAAGTTATTTTAGAAGCGTATACCCGTTAAATAATATTTTATATTAGGTAATACGCTTAAAATCGAAAATCTGCTGATGTTAATATACTGTATATCCGCATATACGTACCAATACACACCTGCCTTTATCGATATTTTCTTTTTGTAATTCTTATAACTTATGAATAAAATAATCATATTTATTTACATTTGTTCAATAAAATGCACATACCACGTAAAATATGTATTTATTGTCAATTTATAACTTATATATAGTGTATTACTACTAATGTTTCATCGGTGTTCATCGAAATTATTTTTGATGAGGCAGGCCATAAGGGTTCTGCGTCGACAATATTCGACGTATTTTCAGAAAGCATATTTATAAATTATAATTGGTAATGCTTATTTATATATTATTAGTTAATAAATTTATTACTGTTTTAAACATCCTTTTTATATATATTTTTTTAGATTACCTGGTAATTTAAGTAAATTTTACAAAAATAACTATGTACCAAATCTATTTTACTGATAGTTATAAACAATGACGTGAGAACCATCGCCTCAGGCGGCACATTTTTTTTGAATCAAAGGGTGGCAGCATTTTTTTGTAAATATCATCTATTTTCATTCGTCAACCAAAACATTTTATTGTTTTAAGATTTCGCACAGTGACCACATAGCGATTTTTATTTTCATGATAATATTATCAAAAGTTGATCGTGTAAAATTCGTAGATAATAAATATTACCTTTCTTGAAAATCGTATACGTATACATGTAGGGGTGGCAATAAAACTGTACCTGGGGCGTCAAAACTAAATACGTCATTGGTTATAAATATTTTTCCATTGGCAATTTCTTTTATGTTTCAATTGTTAATCATTTTCTGTTATGTTAATCTATATTAATTTTAATAATTTTTTGTTTCTGTTATCGATTTCAATCGCTTTTTGAATATTTTAACGTTATACTTATAACGTTATAAAAACGTTTTGGTCCCCTGGTACGGACACTAAGTATCGTTGTAAAATGATCCATATTAAAAAATTTGAAATGTTTTTCTCACATATTATCGATTCCTTAAATACGGATTCAGGGGGGGGGGACTATGCCCCCTTCGCCCCCTACTAAAATACACCCCAGATTGCTTGTATGGCATGCACTCGGTACAACATGTGGAAATGGAAATCCCGGATGGACCGTTTGTTTTCCAAATGAACTCGAAGGCCTGCAGCTCTTTCGCCGCCACCGAGACGTGACCGTATGCGAAATATATCGTACACGTTAGTCGACTCATAACGAGACCGATGTTTGTGCGTGCGGCGGGTGTGTTTGTATTGTTGGCGGGGAAAAAAAAGAAAAAAAACCAGATCACGTGTATTGTTATATTGTTCCACAGGGGGTGAATCGGGGAGGGGAGGGTTCCCCGACTGCGCGTATTTCATATACATTACACGTGCATGTCAAACATTTAGCACAGAGTAAGGGGAGAAAACGCAAGTCGGCTCATTCTGTACGCGCAATACCTATATAATACACGAAATCGTATACACTAGTGTCTACAACGCAATGTCAGGAGTAGAAATATACACGATCGTTTGTTTTTTTTCCTCTCATTTCTCATCCACTCCTCGCGGTCGTTGACTGTTACGCTACACATTGTTTCACACGCACACGATGTCTCTCTCTCTCTCTCTCTCTCTCTCTCTCTCTCTCACTCTTGGTCTCTTCTCCCTCTGCCATTAACTTTCTACCTTGCGCACTGGATAAAAAGCGTTTTGTTTCCAGCACACGTCGCGATCTTATGCGGTCTCCAAAACGGCGACTTGGGAGGAATATTCCCTGCGGCCACCCCCTCTCCCCCGACAATGTCCCAAAGACACGGGCGTCTCGTTTCACTGACCCGTGACGTTTTAAGTGGCAGACCCAACACAGTGTTTTATTATTGTTGCGACGCTTATGATGGAAACGTGTTGCACCAGCGGTTGGTGGTGACATGATGCCGCATGCAGATTAACCTCGACAAAACGATTGAGAGCATAGCACACTTCATTACGATGAAATTATACTTATATTTTGATCATAAACGATTTTTCGTAACTGACGTATGCACGGCAACAACTGCACTACGTTGCATTATATCCGCAATGGGGTCGGTCTGCATCCAACGGTGGATCTTCTCAGTCGAATGCGCGCGGCTGGGCGTCTTAGGGTAACACACTGCAGTGTTCGGGATAAGTGACCGACTGGAATTATCACGATAAAAAATCATTCAGTTCGATGATAATATTATAATGAAAAACCGTGTTTGTATACAAAAGGATAGGTTGAATAAAAAAATAAATAAAAAACTACAAGAAAGGTCAACGAAAACGAATGTTTTAGTAGGTAGTGAAAAGATATACCTACTGCTGCAGGTTAGGTTATACATAATATATTATACATAAGGATGAGGTTTTATCGGGTGACAACACACGAATAGATTGTTAAGGTCATTATATCGTCGTCGTTTCGATGGTATTTCTATTCAACCGATCCGATAATACTTTATTTTCGTACAAAAAATATCGGTCCCTCTAGGCAACTAGAATCGGAATACACCTACTGCGGCGTATAAAATACATCATGGTATATGTTGTAGACGGTGATGTGAACGTTACTTGTGAAGATACTCGAGATATGTCTGAGGAGTGGTCGCATTACATTAATGGCTCAGAAAACAAAGGATAATATATTTTCGAAAAGCCACTTTTAAACAGTATATTTTAAGTGCACCAGTATTTAAGGCTGAACTCTTTTCAAAGGATGGAAAGCAAATATGATACTGGTCAAGCACCTGTTTCATGTTGACATAACAATTTACTCTTTCTTTGAAAAAACACATTTATCCATATTTACTTTTTATAAAATTTCTAACACTACCGCGTATCAATTCTCGATGTTCATTAGAAAAGCCTTTTAAGTTTATAGCCATTGCTGACACCAACTGAAGTATAAGCGAAAAAAACACTATAATTATTAAAAATAAATTTCAATATTTCAGTGATGACCGATGATCCATGTTGTCTTTATTTTGTTTTCATTGTTTTTTATTTG